TCAGTGCTCTCCATAATTCTGTGTTTGACAAAGAACACATGGTTGGAATTTTCTTTAAAACATAGTATTAAAGGTGTAAACATTCGGCATTTTACTATTTAGACCTCCATACACGATTGTATCATAATCTACACACATTTTGGACAGATTGGCTTCTTATTTAGAAGACATCAGATAAATAAAAAAAGAGTGGAATTGTATATTATTTGAAACTCATAACTCACATTCAGGAAAAGCAAATGAAGCCAACTTGAATCTTATTGTCACTACCTTCAACACCCTGTGCCACCTCATTGGAAGCAAAATATAAAATAACAAAAAGATCTATTTATTATATCAATCCTTTCAATCTGAGAGCAAATTTTAGAGCTTCTCGGATGTTCCCCGAAAAGACCCCAAGTCATTTCACAACTTCTTCAGAAGATATCTTAAAATATTTTTAATGAAATGCTTCTCATCAAGGTCAAATTATTCAAACTTTGCTGCCATATTAATTCTACAGCTCTATATTTCTATTTTATATTATAGAGCTCTTAATGGGCAGGTTGATAAAATGAACACAATAGAAGCAAATCTGTAACTGGTTGTTTAAAAAAAAAAAAGAGAAAAAGTCAATGTAGAAAAAACAACATTTATTGGCTCTCGTGAGACTCATGAGTGTTTTATGATGAAAGGGAAACCAAACTGTTATAATTAGCAGAACATATGAACATATTTGCTAAAATGACTTTGCAGAAGCTGAAGGGTAATTAATTAGACTAACTGGCAGCACTTTTCATCTTCCTTCAGACTGACAGTGATTTTTTTTTTCTACTGAAGCACGATTTAACAATTGATTGTGGCATAAGAGCCCACCTGCAGCTTGAGAATTCATTTTCACACAAGAAGGAGAGAGAGAAAAAAATCCTCAACTAGGATATATTGCCCCATGGCATGAATATGCAAGAACTCACAATATGCCGGCAGAGTCATTACTAATGTTACTGCCAATTACAAGGCATGTCATGACACTGATTCATGAATATTCAACACTGACAGATCTTCATGCTCGCCGCAGTGATGCATCTCGTTTTACAGCTTCACTGAGGTAGAAGAGAAGGGACCTTCATCACAGCACAGAGGAGTCATCCTGCAATACAAGCTGTTTCATTAGGGTTAAATAGTTAAATGTGTGTTATATAAAAGTGCATGAAAATGATGGAGTGCTCCCTTGTTCCATAGAACTCACATTAAAGCATATTAAGTAGACATTTAGTCCTGAAAAGAAGGAATCTTAAATTGGAAAAAAGACATAGACCAGTGCCTTGAGCAAAAGAGGTGCTTTAAGACTGCAAGAGGTATGGATTTTTTATATTTTTTAAATGAATCTACTGGGGAATTGAATCATGCAAACAACAACGTCTGACCTTTTTGAACCTGCATTAAAATGGGAGAGATTTCATCATCTCTAAATCAAGCTCAATCACATCAAGCGTGGAGTGATGTTTTTAAATCATAAAGTCATCTGTTGGCCAATGTCACCAGATTAATGCTGCTTATCTCATATAGGGAGAGAGCTGGACACATATGATCCTTATCTAAATAGGCTCTTTGTGCCTTTTTAGGAGACAACGTCTAGGTTGGACAGTGAGTCCACTCTCCTTGATAATAGCATGTTAGTATGTCACAGTGGTTACTCAATTTCAAAAGTCTGTTAAAAAGAAATTTCCAATTAAAGAAGAGTTGGCTTGCATCATTACTGAGCAGATCAGAATCTGCAGGATCATGCAATGATAGGAGGAAGCTCTCTCACTCACAAACATGAATTAGTTAATGGCCTTAAATGTACTATGTTCAGGCCAACAGACTACACACTATCAATTCTAGTTTTAAACTGAGATGCTGATAACCAGGTTATACTGTAATCTCAAAAAAGACTAATTCATAATAAAATGTTTAGGATTAAATACTGTTTTTTATCCGTCAAGATCAGTAATGCCATTTCAGGGGATGTTGTCTATTTCAAGTAATATGGCTGCAAAACTCTTCACATTCATCAAAGTGATGAATTCATCAACATTAAGTAACCCTTCAATTTGTAAATGACAATGACACTGGAACAGCTTCGATTTTCTGCCCTGACTTTAGACGGTCTAACATGAGCAACATAAATACACATTCAACTCAAACATGTGCAGCGCTGTCCATGGTACTTCACCTGTTTCAGTTTTCAGATTCGAGTGCTGAATGGACAGCTCCTGTCAAACACGCCTGGACATCTATTCATCAGGATTACTTTATTATGCTTTCTTTCTCTGTGTTTTTGTTTTTTAGTTGTTAAAGAATAGTAAATATCATGTTGGCTGTTAATGATCCAAGTCAGGATTCGTATTATATCTTTATATATTTTCATTCCCCTCTGAAATGCATACCCAGAAGCACACACATGTTGGGTTTTCATATTTTCTTGAGACATTCCATTGACGTAATGATTTTTATACTGTATAAACAGTATATTCTATCCCTTAACCCTACAGCCATCACAGAAGGCTTTCTGCATTTAAAAACAACAACATAATTTAGTGTGATTTATAAGCTGTTTTGCTCCTGGGGACCAAAAATGTCCCCACAAGGCCAACAATTAGTATTACTATCCTTGTAGGGGCATTTGGTCCTCATAACACCAGGACCACACGCACACAGACACACGCATTCTTCAGCGTTTAATAATTGGGAAATAACTTCAGTCCAATTTGATTGCTCTTCATTTGCTGCCTCTTCTTCCCCATGAGCAGTGATTAAACTATGCATATATATAAGGCAGTTAGTAATTAAATGAGCCAATGGGCAATTATTGCTTAATTGTATGTAATTTCCCTTCATTAAAAAGGTAAATGAAAGCAGACCATATTGTGGATATAAAACATTAGATATAGCAATAAACCCAATCAGGTGTTGAGCACATGGCTGGTCGCTTTGCCTGTCATTGGTTATGTGGAACATGTCTGCCAGTTTTGGACATCATTTTTAAATGAGACATCATGGACTCATGGGGACGTTCTGTCCCCACATATCAGTCTTGAATGGCAGAGCAGTGTCTCTGGCTCATTGACAATTTGTTCGACATAAGGCTAGAATACATTGGTCATCGCTGTATTTGCATGCATTTATAACACAGTACTGTTTAAAACATAATCCAAAATGATTGTCTAGTGGGTGGTGAACAACAGTGTCCTCTAGAGGAGACTACCACCTCCATTTGGAGAACACCATGGTTTAGCACAGCTACAAACATCATACAGCCAGAATGCAATCAGTTTTGTAAGAGGTATTAAGAAAACCTCACAGGCCTTCATTTTCTATCTTTTGTCATAGAAAAGGGACTGAGCAGAGGTTTTTACATATTGTGGTTTTAACTATAAGGCCAACTAAAAAAAGTCCATTGTGGTAGAGAGAGGCAATAATTAGAAGGCTTTTCACATGATGACCTGTCTCAAATAACAATGACACCCACCCAGTCAGATACAACAGGGCAAAGACTGTTTGAGAGGAAGTGACCTCTTTTTCTAGACTGCAGCATGGGCTGTGTCAAAGCCGTTGTTTTCTGCATCACATTTCTTCAATTTCAACACATTTATAAAAATATGTATTTATAACAATATAGCCTATAACAACATATAACAATAATTCAATTAAATTGAAACGACCATAAGAATCCCTCTGCTAATGACCCATCCTCCGCTGCCTGCCTGGAAAACGTGTACAAATAGATGCAAAGATGTAAAGATTCTGTATATTGACCTATGCTGTCTTAAAAGGGAAGCTCTTGTTTAATAAAAGCTGGGCTGTGTTGAGTTTAGTCAACAACATAGCCAACAGGGCCTACTCAAAGCCATATTTGTTAAGATGTAGTTCTATCAATTTATTTATTATTTCATTTCCATTGCTGTTTCACAGAGTATTGACCAAAGGCTCTAGGATATTTTTCCCATATTGTTTGTTGTTTAAACTAATATTAACAGCATTTACCAAACCATCTTTGAAAAACAAACAAACAAACATAGCTTTATGTTCAATATATGTTTAAAATACAAATAAATACTGTACGAATTAAATACTGTACTGTGACATTCATATTGTTATCTTTATTGACAGTGTTTTGTGTGAAACGACTTTTAATAATTGTAATTTCTTAGCGTTTATCAAAGTATACTGTGCATACTGAAATATGCATCACAAAACAGAGGTACATTGCTATTCGATCATGGGGAATATATAATACAGCATATCTCAGTGAAATCACAGGCATGTACCGGCTGTCAGTCAGTCCTCAGATTGGCAGAAGAGTCTCGCAGCTGATTGGTGCTACTCACATATGACGCAGATGACGTACTGAACTCAAGCACGTGGGTCTCACATAAACAAAGACACATTGGCAGACAGAGCTCTACATGCCAGTGTTGAGCTCCGAGCTGTGCGGACAACACGCTGTACTGGACATTTACACACATATTCTGCATCACAAGCATATGGATACAATATAGTTTTGCTGATGGTCTACAAGGTATGTCATTGCCTTTCTTTTTGTGAGTGTGTGCAAATATGCAGTTTAAAGTACCTAAGCATAGCAAATTTGTCTATGGTATCTTAATTGCTTTAAACAGTCTGTGATTTATGTTTGTTGGTTTCTGCTGGTTTTATGCAAACTATTTTGTTATTTTTCTTATAGCTGCGATGTGAAATCAGTTTTTATTCAGTCCTTGTCTGAGACCAGAGACCAGCCCACGCTTATGTGAAACTGTGAAATTTATGTGAAATTTTGTTTCTTCAGACATGCATTTATTAAAATGCATTAAACTCGAGAGTAAAAACAAATAAACAAACGCGTTGCGCAAAACCTTAAACTTTCGATCCATCACGCATATGCACCTGTTCAGATATGGCGCAAAAGAGTGTGTTTCAAATTTCTAAGTTTCAGTGAGCTCTAGCATTTTGTATAGAAAATGGAACTACTAAAATGTGATGCAAAATCAAGTGAAAGTTGTGTGTTTTATCAGAGGGAGAATCCAGAGCCGAGTCGTTTGTCTTGAACCCCTGTATTACATTTCATCTGTTATTATCATCACCTTCACCAAGATCTGCAGTGGAACAGTCCCACGACTGAAGGTACTTTTCACTTAAAAGTGATTTTGCAAAGTTGCATGTACGCTGAAAACACTGCTTTCGATGGCCATGCGGCTTTTATTCTCATGCAGGCTGTCTTTCTGTTTTGTATTGATTAGGCTCCTGTTTTGTTCGCAGCCATGCCCTGCGTCCAGGCTCAGTATGGCTCATCCCCGCAGGGCGCCAGTCCTGCATCTCAGAGCTACAGTTACCACACCAGCGGTGAATACAGCTGCGATTTCCTCACACCAGAGTTTGTGAAGTTCAGCATGGACTTAACCAATACCGAGATCACTGCCGCCACCACCTCTCTGCCCAGCTTCAGCACCTTCATGGACAACTACAACACCAGTTATGACGTGAAGCCGCCCTGTCTTTACCAGGTGCCCCATTCTGGAGAACAGTCCTCTATCAAGGTGGAGGAAGTCCAGATGCACACATACCATCAGCAGAGCCATTTGGGCCCGCAGTCAGAGGAGATGATGGCCCACTCCGGGCCTATGTACTTCAAACCGTCATCACCTCACGCTCCGGGAACGGCGAACTTCCAGGTTCAGCCCAATCACATGTGGGAGGACCCGGGCTCCTTGCACTCTTTTCATCAGAACTATATGACCTCGCACATGATCGATCAGCGCAAGAACCCCGTGTCCAGGCTCTCCCTCTTCTCTTTCAAGCAGTCTCCACCAGGAACACCTGTTTCAAGCTGTCAGATGCGCTTTGACGGGCCTCTCCATGTGTCCATGGGACACGACGGTCCCGGAACGCACCGAGCCCTGGACAGCCAGAGTTTCGCAGTGCCCAGTGCTATCAGGAAACAGGCGGGGATCGCTTTCACACACTCCCTGCAGCTCAGTCACGGCCATCAGCTGATGGACAGTCAGGTGCCGTCACCTCCGTCTAGAGGATCACCGTCCACCGAGGGTTTGTGCGCGGTGTGTGGGGACAACGCGGCGTGTCAGCACTATGGAGTCCGAACGTGTGAAGGGTGCAAAGGCTTCTTCAAGGTAATTTTTATATTATTATTTGTATCATTATTATTGATAATAATAATAATTTGTGGTTTGGTCGCCGCTCATTTCGGTTTTCTCTAATAACATGAGTAAAATTAGACATGAACTGACATTTCAGGAATTGGCGTTTTTTATATATATATAGGCTATATATATTTTATTTTGCTCCATATCTGATCAAAGATCATTCACACCTAAAATAATATCAATGTTTGTTTCTTAAATTGTCAAAAGTTGATCTGAATTTTATGTAATTTAAACAAAATCTTATTGCCCACTTTTTAGCGTACAGTACAGAAGAACGCCAAATATGTGTGTTTAGCCAATAAAAACTGTCCTGTGGATAAGCGCCGGAGAAACAGATGTCAGTATTGCCGATTTCAGAAGTGCCTGGTGGTCGGGATGGTAAAAGAAGGTAAATCGCTACAATATTTGTCTACACTTCTCAAACGTGCGGAGGGGATACATGCATCTTAATCGCTGTCCATTAGAATGTTTCCCTCACTTGGAAAATAGAGTGCAAATGCAATTATAGTTATCCCTGATTTAATTGTAAATACATTTTACAACAAGCATAACAGCTCCTTGATAGTAACAGTCTTGTGTTGTTTTGACAGTTGTCCGGACCGCCAGCTTAAAGGGTCGGCGAGGCCGTTTACCCTCCAAACCCAAAAGTCCGCAGGAGTCTTCGCCCCCCTCTCCGCCCGTCAGTCTGATCAGCGCCCTGGTCAGGGCTCATGTGGACTCCAACCCTTCTATGAGCAGCCTCGACTACACCAGAGTGAGTTATATTACATTCATCTTTAATTTTACCCATCACTTTAGACTTTAAGAGAAGAAAGTCCAAATATGACTCGCGTATGACTCTTGATGCGCACCCTGCGCGAAACTGACAGAGCCAATATTAGGAATTTAATATCATACAGTGTTTCATTATAAACTTTCAACACTTTAAGGGTGGCATATTTTACTGTCTAAATTGCTTTTGCAAGAAAGAAGCCAGTGAAATACAGACACAAGTTAAATTAAAGAGGGGGAAAACTCTCCCCCTTTTAGAAATGGGCTTTGCAATTTCACGGGTTATATATTTTAAGGGAGCTCATTAAGTCATGTTTAAATTAAATTCCAGTTCCAAGCCAACCCGGACTACCAACTGAGCGGAGATGACACACAGCACATCCAGCAGTTCTACGACCTCCTCACCGGATCCATGGAGATCATCCGCGGATGGGCAGAAAAGATTCCCGGGTTCACCGACCTGCCGAAACCGGATCAGGACTTGCTGTTCGAGTCCGCCTTCCTGGAGCTTTTCGTGCTGCGCCTGGCGTACAGGTACCGAGGCTTCTGGAGAAGTGGATTTGCTGCTTCAAATTTTATTGGCTCTGCAATAATTAGGAGCTGCTTAAATCCCCGTTTAATGCGCGCAGTAATTAATGGGCGCTTTGTCATTAATTTCAGGTCCAACCCGATGGAAGGCAAACTCATCTTCTGTAACGGGGCGGTGTTGCACAGACTGCAGTGCGTGCGTGGATTTGGCGAGTGGATTGACTCTATAGTGGAGTTCTCGTCTAATCTTCAGAACATGAATTTAGACATGTCTGCTTTCTCATGCATCGCCGCCTTAGCTATGGTCACAGGTAAGATCCGTTTTTATTATACCGTTCAGAGAATTGTTACTGTGTTTATGTTATGTTCTAATAGGCTAGAATAATAATAATAATAATTATAATTATTATTATTTTGCAGAGAGACACGGACTTAAAGAACCCAAGAGAGTTGAGGACCTTCAAAACAAGATAGTAAACTGTCTTAAAGATCAAGTCACCTTTAATGGAGGCGGCTTGAATCGTCCGAACTATTTGTCCAAACTGTTGGGGAAACTACCTGAACTGCGCACACTGTGCACACAGGGTCTGCAGCGCATCTTCTACCTAAAACTAGAAGATCTGGTCCCACCGCCAGCAATAATCGACAAACTGTTTCTTGACACTCTGCCCTTTTAAACCGAGAGAGAGAGAAGGGGAAAAACTATTTCAAACAACCTCAGAGAACTTCCACAGACTCCCTTAAAAAACTGAAAGTCTGATTTTTCAAACCATGCCAACCATCGCCAAATGAAAAAGGATCCAACAATTTAAAGGCTGGAAAACTCCACGCGAAAACAATAAAAATAAAATAATAATTATACATTTTGCCATCGGCAAGTGATTTTTTCCCTCTTTATCCCACACACTATCTGCCTCTGAGTATCTCAGAACAGATACAAATGTAAAAAAAAAAAAGAAAAAAAAAAGTTAATAATATGAGAAATTATAATAAAAGACAGATTATCCAATAGTTTGCCTGATTTTGAACAATGACAATATCTCGCCACTAATCATTGTTAACTGCAAACGTCTGTATTCTTGGAAAAATCAGAGTAGTAGAGTGGAGTGTATCATACGCCATTTCTATATACCTATTCAATAGATTTATGTGATTTATATGATGTGTATAAAGCTTGTACAGAGACAGTTTTTTCTTTCTTTTATAACTTGTGCCTGTGTATCTCTGTCAGGTGGAAAGGAGACGCATGTTGTAGAGGACTCTTGTCTCTATTACACACTCTATATTCCGGACACTATGTAGTCTGTTAGATTTTATAAAGATTCGTAGTATTGGGACAACTTTTAAATATGGCACATGTGGATAAAAATACCAGTATCATCTGTACAGGTAAAAAGGGACCCATAGTGTTTGTAAAATTGTCAGACATTCCTTGTTTGTATGTGTTGTATGTATTGTTGCTGTTTAATATAAACGTTTATATATTTATTTCGAGTTTGCCGTTAAAGCATGGTGCAGTTGAAATGATTTCAGACGCATCACCGTCGTCTTTGTTGAATGTCGCATATGTGATTTAATTTGCCATCTTTTTTTCCTGTAGGTGTGTGAAAATCATCACTGCCTTTTTTCTATGGTTTAACTAAATATACGCGTTCGGTTCGGTTCCGAATCCGAATCAAACTCCACGAGAAAAGAACATTTAATGTTTACAAATAAAACTTTTAAATAATTTCCAAGGAGGAGCCGTGTTTCTTAATCACATTTCAAACTGAAGAGGGAATTCATTGTACCGAAAATAAACTTTTTTTTTCTGGAAATGCTCAGAAATGACTCAAGGAAAAACCTACATTGCTCAAGGAAAAAACAAAACAACAACAACAAAGATTATTATATATATTTTTTTTTACATTTCCCTCACGTGAAAGGTTACGCTTTCGTTTTTATTTTCATAAAAAAGTAAGCGTAACCTATATATCGACTGAATATGACATTTACACCGCATATGGCAAATAATAATTCCGCGGGGATAAATAACCATTTTCTGATATATCCATTTTATATATTTTTTTCCTCTTCAGAATAAGAATAGACAGAGTAAAAATAAATAATAATAATAATAATAAAACTTAAACGAATTAACTTCCCAGTAAATACGGAATCTTTTTGAAAGTTTGCCCCACAATAATAATAATTTAAAAAAGCATTATGCACTGTGTGGAAATTTATTTCCATTTATTCTAAAGAGTTTTGCGCTCTTAAAAAGATCTGAACAGAAATGTATTACATAGGAGCCTATTCGTCATTCAAATGCATAAAATTGTTTTCGCAAACAGATTTAGTTGTTTTTGTTGTTGAACGTGATATAGGCCTACATGTGTCTTAAAACTATTAATTCTGTTACAGTAGGTTAGCAAAATGACACCGATGGATGAAAAAGTAGCTAATATAAAAACATTCGTTGTATTTTTAAAAGCAACGAAATGAAATTCCTACAATTTTACTGAGTTACTTATTAGATCGATTATAACACAGGTTTTATGCTGTTTCATGCATTCAGTAAATTTCAGTATATTTCTTTTATAAAAAAAATGTTTTACTCCGATTTTTATTTTTAAACTTTAATTCAGGATACGGAATTGGAGGCAGGTTCTTGCATAGGTAATTACATGTTGTAGAAAACATAAGTAAGCTAATATAGCACATTACAAAAATCGTCTAAATACATGTAGGCCTATCTTAAAATAACGTAGCCAATTATGAATGCGTAATAAATTATATTTTTTGTTTTCAGTTATTTATCAATTCCGGGAGATTGCTCCATGTTTGGTTTTAAAGTTTCAGATTGTGTCAAGGAACATTAAACTTAAATAATAAAAAAAATAGCGAAAGCATATTAATTTTACTCTTTATATAATGAACATTTTCTTTCTCTCGTTTCTTCTGCACCATTACAGGGTGGTATGCCACACCACAGCACAATGAGCTTTATTTAGACAGGTATCATTCTCTAAATTATTTAAAGCAGTGCGGATTTGTAGAATGCAAGCGTGCGTATAATTGTTTTACATGACTGGTGTGTGTGCGCGTGTGTGCGGACTTGTGTGTCTAAAACCAAAAATAAACACGCATAAATGATGTTAAGGTTCTATAATCTGCCGGCTTGATCATCTGAACACTGACGTTAACACCAAGCTCACAAAGAGTATGCATTTATTTGTGCCATTTCAAACTCCTGCAGGATATTTGCAGCACAATAGAAAAAAACACATAATCACAAATTAGATTTAATGATTTTATATTTAAAATGTGTGTATAAACTAAAACGTGCTTATCTTGGAGACTTACACTTATTTTGTTGCAAGCAGGTGCAGTGTGATATACTGTACAAATGAACTTGATACAGGGACTCACATTGCTGTAACCCAGGGAAGCATGCATATTTAGACCATAAATCAATGAAAAATATAAACCTAGCACACAAGCTTGTGAACATCTGCATTTTACCTTGTCCGGTGGGACTTTCTTCTATGGCTTTGGAATGGAGATGATATATTTTGGGGAAATATTTTACATCTAACTTAAAATCAGAGCTAAATCAGACCTGCTGTATAGCATGCTTTTCATAACTGTCTCAAGTAAGTATATTTGGTTTTATATATATGCACGTTAAAAAATAGACAATTATTGTGCATTACTGAAAAGTGAAGACTTCTTTACGGAATTCTGTCTCACGTATATATATATATATATATATATATATATATATATGTGTGTGTGTGTGCACGTTCATGCACACTTTCATTGTTCATTACTGAAAAGTGAAGAGTTCTTTACGGATTTCTGTCATTCACCATTCATGTCCGTGTAGCTCAGAGAGGACATGAAGGTGCCTCTGGGCAACGTCTGGGAAAGCTCACAATCGCACAATCTCTCTCTCTCTCTCTCTCTCTCTCTCTCTCTCTCCTCTCTCTCTCTCTCTCTGCTTCCCTTTCTCCCTCATTCTCCTTCTCTCATCAGCCATGGCATGGCTGATCTTTTCCCAAAGTTCTCACAAGGCAAAGAATTGTCTGAATAATTAGATCTTCACAGCAAAAAGACTAATTCCAAGTCAAATTAAGATTACACTCAAAAGCAGTTTGCTGACATTTAGCAGATCAGTTAGAGGGACGCTCTGCAGTGTCACAAGCTTGTACCGTGTTGACTGAAGTAATCATTTAGGTTGGCAAGGGCCTAATCTCTGCACAAAGAAAAAAAGCAGCGTGTGACAGAGAGACACGCTCACCTTACACATGTCGAGGTATTTTCAGGCAGATCTAGTGCTTTCACTCCAATCCTTGCGTGTTTAAATAGAGACGAATCACAGAGCATTTCACTGCGCCTTTATCTGTTCTGACAGAGGGGACGAATATGGCGGCGGTCTCCTATATGCTTTTGGTCTGTCACTCTGCTCTCTGGGTTCTGCTTAGCACTGCAGATAATGCAAACGCAGAAGGAAGGATGGAAATAACACGCTCCGTCTGCACACGGAGAGCTCAGAGGCCGCAGGCACTTTGTCGTAAGTGCTAGAGCTGGAAACCTAAGAGGAGCGAAATTATAAAGCAGTGCTCCACTCGGACAGATCCGGACAGTCTTTTACTGATGGGATAGATGCCCTAAAACACAGTCATTAAGCAGTGCAGGACGCGTTCTACCTACTTCAGATGATTTCAGTAACTCGGAGAGACCTCGGAGTAACAAGGTCAGGAGATGTATAGCTGAAGAACTGAAAAGCAGCTCTCTTCCCACCAGGGACACAGCAACTTTCAGCAATTCTGTTGTGTGGTTTACATTTGCTCTGCAGTCTTTGCGAAAATACACACTTTAAATATCGGTTTCCATATGCAGCAGCAGGCAATGGCATCCGTGACATGTGGGCTCGCAAACACTGTGCAAATCTGTGCAGAGCTAAAGCAGATATTGTGTGTTGGCAGAGCGCTCTGCTGGGGTTACAGACATGGCCTTTAATGCAGTCCCTCCAGCTCACGTGTGTGTCAATACACATCTAAAAAACTAACAGACGTCTTCACTGTGTATTTCATTTCAGCATTTATTTATGACTGGCATAATAAAAGACTAAATATTTCTGTCCAACGATCTGACTGAGAAGAGAAGAGAAACAGCACTGTCTGATGAGGAACGCTTTCTTTGGAAATACATGCAAACGTTTAAATATTTCACGATGTGTCCCTTTGGTTCACTCACTCTCAGTTTTTCAGAAACAGCAGTCATCTCTGCCCTCTGTAACCTCTGGCCTTCACCGAGTTTGAGAGAGTCAGACAGGTGTATGTCTCAGAGCAGTTTGTGACACTTCTTTTTTATCATTTAGGACATGGAGTCTCTTACGGGAGACCGGGGCTAGTTGTCACAAGATTTATATCTAAGGTTTACATATAGGGGAGACCGGGGCTAGTTGTCACACGATTTATATCTAAGGTTTACATATAGGGGAGACCGGGGCTAGATGTCACAATATTTATATCTAAGGTTTACATATAGGGGAGACCTGGGCGAGTTGTCACAAGATTTATATCTAAGGTTTACATATGGGGGAAACCGGGGCTAGTTGTCACAATATTTATATCTAAGGTTTACATATAGGGGAGACCGGGGCGAGTTGTCACAAGATTTATATCTAAGGTTTACATATAGGGGAGACCGGGGCTAGATGTCACAAGATTTATATCTAAGGTTTACATATAGGGGAGACCGGGGCGAGTTGTCACAAGATTTATATCTAAGGTTTACATATAGGGGAGACCGGGGCGAGTTGTCACAAGATTTATATCTAAGGTTTACATATAGGGGAGACCGGGCTAGATGTCACAAGATTTATATCTAAGGTTTACATATAGGGGAGACCGGGGCGAGTTGTCACAAGATTTATATCTAAGGTTTACATATAGGGGAGACCGGGGCTAGATGTCACAAGATTTATATCTAAGGTTTACATATAGGGGAGACCGGGGCTAGATGTCACAAGATTTATATCTAAGGTTTACATATAGGGGAGACCGGGGCTAGTTGTCACAAGATTTATATCTAAGGTTTACATATAGGGGAGACCGAGGCTAGTTGTCACACGATTTATATCTAAGGTTTACATATAGGGGAGACCGGGGCTAGTTGTCACAAGATTTATATCTAAGGTTTTCATATAGGGGAGACCGGGGCTAGTTGTCACACGATTTATATCTAAGGTTTACATATAGGGGAGACCGGGGCTAGATGTCACAAGATTTATATCTAAGGTTTACATTTAGGGGAGACCGGGGCTAGATGTCACAAGATTTATATCTAAGGTTTACATATAGGGGAGACCGGGGCTAGATGTCACAAGATTTATATCTAAGGTTTACATATAGGGGAGACCGGGGCTAGATGTCACAAGATTTATATCTAAGGTTTACATATAGGGGAGACCGGGGCTAGATGTCACAAGATTTATATCTAAGGTTTACATATAGGGGAGACCGAGGCTAGTTGTCACACGATTTATATCTAAGGTTTACATATAGGGGAGACCGGGGCTAGATGTCACAAGATTTATATCGAAGGTTTACATATAGGGGAGACCGGGGCTAGATGTCACAAGATTTATATCTAAGATTTACATATAGGGGAGACCGGGGCTAGATGTCACAAGATTTATATCTAAGGTTTACATATAGGGGAGACCGGGGCTAGTTGTCACAAGATT